CTGTAACAAGAGGGTCGAATGAAGTAGAAAATCAGAAGAAACAAATGGAAGTTTGTCACACGCGCAAATAGCATTCGAAGTGAGCTGAGATAAATATCATCACAGAAGATAATCGAAAAAATCGTCAAAATAGAAATATTCACTCAACTTGTTATCTTCACTTTCGTACATATCCAACAGAGGGGGCAAAACATGATCGATGAGCTCCTTGACTGTTGAGCTGAGAGGTGTGGCCTATATGCAAACCATTAAGCAAAGTCCTTGACAACACGAGCATTGAAAGGCTTACAACAACTGCACCCGGTTCCCAATCAGCGGGCTCACTCAAGTCGTAGAACGTTCGAACAACCTCCAATAAGGATTCAGTCGCAGCTTTCCGAATGCCTTCGTAATAGTGTGGGAGGAGTGAAACCAATTCCAGCGTGCAAGGTTCGACGTAAGGGAAGAAATGGGACTTGGTAGCGGCAAAGAGAGTGCCAATAGTATCCGCTGCTATTTCCTTCTCAACGGCAATGGCACTGTTAACGTCCATCACCTTGTCAAGGTCGATATCTTCAAGTTCGATGGAAGTGTCGCCATTATCATCAGTGATCGGAATAGCACTAGATGGAGAGGAGCCAGAGTTGAATGCAGATGAGGCCTCTGCAATGGACACTAGATGAAGATGATTAACCCATTGCAGAAATCGAGATGCGACATAAACTTACGGCTCAAGCCCTCTTCGCCATGCTCAAGTTGCTTGCAACTGGCCAAAAGGGGCGGTACAACTTCGGGGAGATACACAGCGAAATCCTCTCCGAACACGCGCGCCATCACACCAAAGAACAGGAAACTACACTCCCGGAGTCGTGCACTACCCGTCTCAATACCAGCAAATGCATGCTTCATCATCTCAGGGAAATACGGACGGAAAACATCCTTTCCAACGGCTTCAGCAAAGGTACCGATAGCGTCCATGGTAATTCCGCGAAGTTCGACTGCTTCACCCTCGCCAGTCAAGCCGAGGAAATGTTGAAGGGCAGTCATGGTAGGCTGGAAGTAAGGGAAAAACTGGTCTTTCGATGCATGGGCGGCGCTACCGATAGCACCTGTGACGACGGCCTTGACCGACAAGGGAGCGGTTTGGAGAAGGCCGGCAAGGCGTTCCATGATGAGATGAAGATACTGATCAATAACGTCGTGCATAATCTCGAGGAGAGCATCAAGGGCGGTGCATGCGGACCGTTGGGTTGCTTCGTCGTTGATCAAGGTCATGATGCCCTGTAGAAGTGTAGTGAGGACAGCCGAGGGACAAGGTAGAGAAAATACGTACTGGGACAAGGACGGCGTGTTTGGAGACGCAATCCTCCTCTAACCACTCGCACAAGCAGCTAACAGCCACACATGTGGCCTTCCGCACACCAGCATCTTGGTCCATAAGGCCGGCCTCAATGATGGGCCAGACTTCATGCATCAATGGGGTCATAAATTCGCTGCACCCTTCAACCGAGACACCCAATGCAAGCATGGCACCTCGTCTTTGTGGTGCATTCGGAGAAGAGAAATATTGCTGAATCAAAGCACGAAGTGCGGGGAAGACCTGTGTAGGAGGTAGGCTCGTGGCTAGCCCGTCGATAATGCGAAGAGCAGACTAGGAAAACAGTCAATTATCAGGAGTGAGGATACACGCCCAAATGCTTACGCGAGAGGGCGCGTCGTCGTCAAGATCCTCTGGTTCCTCTTCAGTTGTGATGGGCATCAGGCCCTCTAGGATATGCGGTGCCAGAGCATGAGACTGGACTTTAGATTTTTTACTGAACAACGATGAAAACGATGGACACCGGCTGAGGTAAGAACTGCTTACTATTGAACTGTCCAATTGAGGGCGTTGAGGGCGAGGACGCGGAGTTCATTGTCAAAACCGACATTAGCACCACATCGAAGGAGGAAATCAACGAGCTCTGGGATGTGCTTGCTGAGGATGGGAACTTCCTGTGGTTGAGGGTCAGGGCTCGTATGACCCTGAGATAAGATCAGATTTGACGTACGAGAATGAGAAGGGTCTCCAAAACATCAAAAAGCTGCCGTGCGCCGGTTTCATTTCCACCCTCGACACATTGCCCGATGACTAGAATCATGGGCGGTAGAAGTGCTTGGAAGGATTTCTAGATGCGACATGACTGACAAGAAACGATAGTTTGAGAAGGATGCTCACGATATCATTTTTATCGTCTGCATCAATATATTGCGCGATAACACCGAGAGCTCTGTGGGTTCAATTAGTAGCTTTCTGGGCGATGAGCGTGCCATACTGACCTAACTGTCGTAATGCGGACCTCGAGGCTTTCTGGGTCAGCGAGAAGACCACCGAATAGTGTAAATAGGTCAGCAAGGTGTTCTTGAAAGCCTTCTACAATAGATTCGAGGACGGTAAAGAGTATGTAGATTCCGACTTCTCTATGTAGCACCTGTGGCGATACGCAAGTCTGGCGAAGGAATGGGAGGAGTTGATTCCAGGTACCAGCAGAGACTTCAATTGTCGCAATGGCAGCGATGACCCTGGCCGCAGAATGTCGCACCAAATTGCTAATGGGCTTATCAAGATCATGGAAAAGGAGAGACGGATTAACACTGCGTACTCGGTTTCGATGAGAATAAATTCTGGCAGCTTGGCTTTTATTTGTTCCCGGTCATCTTGAGGAAGCTGAAGCCAGAGGGCACCACTCTTTTGGCTCACGCGCTTTCGCATCTCGACTGCAGCGAGTTGGCGGACCTGCCAGGCTAGATATTAGCGTGCCGGGGAACGGATTTCATGGGGACATACAGCCTGTTGAGGGGAGCTGGCCAAGATGTTGGCAAGACCAGAAATGCATCCCGGATTTTTGTAGTACTCTTTATTGAGTTGGGCAGTAGCCTGGAGATTTATAGCGACAAAGATGACTCTGATCAATAGAAGGGCCAAAAAGACGCGAGATACACGTACTGCCTTGACTTGATTTGTGTCGTTTGACGTCGTCTGGAGGAGCAGATTGTGCAAGACCTCGACGTACTGGGGCTGATCGAGGGGGGGAGGACGATAAACAAGATGACTAGATCGACGACGATCCCCGACTTACATCCATCGCAGCACGGCTTATAACGGGAGAGACTGGAGAGGACGAGGGTGGCGGGAGGAAGGAGGTGATGAGATTTGGGCGAGCAGGCCTCAAATTTTTTGTGTCGGAGTTGGCCGACTTTATAGATTTCCGAAAACGGGAGCAGCAGATAGCCCAGTAAGGATATCGCTGCGATCATATGGCATCAGCACACACCCATTGCTGCCTCAATCCAGTCCAGTCCAGTCGCCCAGAAGTCCCATCAGCCAAAGGTTATCGCTATCGCATCGTCTCGATGACGTTGTTCCGTTTTCGATAATTATCTTCCGGACCCTGACCTTATTCCGATGCAGGGTTGAGTCGTTTGTTCGACTTTCATGAAACTTTAAATGGATCCTCGAGCAAGACCCTCCCACCGTCATGTTGGAACGGTGTCTACACCTCTTTGCATGCCGCAAAACGTACGTGTTCTATGCGCTGCACGCACTTAGGCCCTCCTGCGCGCGGTCCCGGTCTTGATCTCCGACCAGCCTACGGTGTTCACGTGGACCGGACCCTTGTTATGGATACTGGCAGTGCGCCTCGTGTCCCCGAAGAATTGACAGGGAGTATATAAGCCTGACCACAGAAGTTCGTTACGACGTGTCTTCGTTCTGTATCATAACCTGTATCGGTAACGCTTCTCTCTTGCCTCAATGCCATCCTCGTCGTCTACCTCTTCATCACCCCTGGCCTCACCCACCTCTTCCTCGAGCGACCACACCTCGGCTCGTGAGGCACCCCGCAATAAGGTTTCGGGGCCACGAAAATTGATGTCCGTGTCTTTTCATCGATGTGCCACACCTTAGCACTGACCGTGGCTATTTTTCTGCAGAAGACAACATCCACGGCGCCCTCGTGAACCTGTGGACGGATCAGGATCACCCTCCTTCAAAAGACGCATCGTGCTCGCCTGGAAGGCCCTCAACCAGCCCTCGCATCCTCGCGACTCGCGTCGTTATTCCTACATGCCGCCCGGTTTTTCTCGTGTTGGAGAATTGCGAAAAGATGCGCCACTACCCCCGCTCCCCCAATTGCCTGAATCTTTTGTCGTTTTGGGTTCGCCACCATGATTATGATCCGCCATACTCCATTGACTATAACCTTCTTGTGACCAGCCACTTGTTGTACTTACTAGCTATTTATTTTCGCGCATACGGGTCTGGCTTATGTGTATCTAACTCCGCTATTTTGTCTCTTGACCACTATCTATATTACCGGCTCAACCACACTTTCACCTTTCATCTCAATGAGCGGACCCTCAAAACCAATACCTATCCCAAAGCCCAAGACCAAAGTTGCCAATGGGGACCTCGCCGTTTTCCTTTCTCGGGTCAGGCGTAATTCCGCACCAAGCTTCCATCGACCCCGCCGTTCTATTTCGGAACAGTTTGACTTTGCTCAAGAACCAGGAGCTGCAGAAGTTGCCGCCCTTTGTGCGGATATCAAACAAAACCCAGGGGCCTACGATGGCGTTCGAAAAGAGTTGATCGACCTCGCGAAGAAGGAAAAGAAAGTCGTGGATCAGGCCATCGAAGACCTCGAAGATTTGCAATATGAAGTGACACAGAGACAACACGAGAAAAAGACTCATGCAACCGCCAAAGAAATTGCTTGGCTTGAAAGGGATCTGGAGGAGACGCACAAAGCTTTCCGTAAGATACAGCCTTTCTTCGTTTCCTGTTTCAGGAGTGTTCTGGCTAAGCCGCCATGACCATAGTCGATGCAATACGGCCACACAAGAATTCTTGAGGGCTTTAGCTGGCAAGCTTCGGGGAGGGGCTATCATGAATGTACTTGTAGTTTTTGAATGACGTCGACCTTGATTCCGGATTTATCTCTTGGCGGCCCTGTCCCCTTGGATGCCAGCAGAGGTTTGCAATGCATGGCGAGATGGCCGAGTGGTCTAAGGCGCCAGACTAAGGACCAGGATGCACAGGCATCCACTCATATCTGGTCCTCCGGGGCGTGGGTTCGAATCCCACTCTCGTCACACTCTTTTTGTGTTTTTGTCCTCCAAGGAGGCAGTCCGTAAGGTCGTTGGCTTCGGAATTCAACAAGACCAAATACCACTTCGCGTGTCTGGCCGACGTCCGCTTTCGAGTTCCCGTTCTTCGCTCGACCAGCTGCAATGACAGCTCCCAGTGGTCTGTCTTCGGCACTGCGCATAACAGCGCGCTACTCTCTTTCTAGACCAGGAGGTTCCACGCTTCCCGTTCGTGGGATATTCACAAAGTCAACAGCACCACCTCCGTCACCGCTTCGCACAGGTTTATATGCAACAATACTTGCTGTCTCTACGGGACTTTTTGCTGTCTACTATTTTGACTCTCGCTCTGCACTTCATCGGTATTTCCTCACACCCGCGTTGAGGTATACTCTAAGCCCGGAGAATGGACATAAGGTTGCCGTTAAAGTTCTCAGAAGTGGACTGGGTCCTAGGGATCCGGTGACAGATGATGCGAGGTTGACGGCGGAGGTGAGTTAGAGTCATTGTTAACTAGGGTTTGTATAGGGTGGACTGATGAAGATGAATGCATCGGTAGTTGTGGGGAGAGGAAATTTCCAATCCGGTTGGATTGGCGGCTGGATTTGATAAGAATGGGGAAGCTATAGACGGTCAGTAGTCTCTTTGTTGTAGTGCATATGTTGTACTGTACTGAATATCATGATACTCAAAAGGGTTATTCGATCTCGGTTTTAGTTGGGTTGAAATTGGGAGTGTAACACCGAAACCTCAGGTGTGTCTCTCTGACAGCGCACGATGCTTATCTTTCCGTTCTCCTCGGTTATACTAATGGTATTGTATTCTATAGGCAGGCAACCCCCAACCACGAGTATTCCACCTTCCCGAAGACGCAGGCCTCATCAATCGTTACGGATTTCCGTCCGAGGGACAAGCATCCGTCCTATCCCGGCTGCGCTCTAGAATACCCTCATTTCTCCTCCCCAGTACATCAACAACTTCCGAATCACCTTCAACACATTCACCGCAGCACGCATCACTACGGAGTGGTGCTCTACTTGCTGTTAATTTAGGCAAAAACAAAACGTCATCGGCTGAGTCGATAGACGACTTTTTGAGCGGTGTGAAAACTTTTGGGCCCTATGCAGACGTGTTGGTCGTTAATGTGTCCAGTCCGAACACGCCTGGATTGAGGTAGGCGTGTTCTGATCACTCCACCGCCATTTGGGCTCATATCCTCGCGTTTCGTGCGTCATAGGGGACTGCAAAATCGACAAGCTCTTGAAGACCTCTTAAGTGGGGTTATTAAAGCCCGAAATGACCTCCCACTACCTCGACTGACACATGCCAAACCCAAAATCCTCGTCAAGCTCGCGCCTGACCTCGACACGATCCAACTAGAAGAAATCGCAGAAGTGATTCGAACTAGTGGGATTGATGGCGTGATTATCAGCAACACCACGGTGCAAAGACCCAGTGGGTTGATCAATCGTAAATTTCCTCATGTTTCATGTCCTCAAGTATCTGACTTATACTTGATTGCAGCTAATAAATCCGAACAAGGCGGATTTTCCGGTCCCCTTCTGAAACCTCTCTCCATCTCCGCTTTACGTACCCTCCGCACACACCTCCCTTCCTCAATTCCAATCATCGGCTGTGGTGGAATTTCATCAGGTCAAGATGCACTTGAATTTGCACGAGCAGGTGCCGCCATGGTTCAAATGTACACACACTTCGGTTATGGCGGTGCTGGTGCATGTAGAAGAGTTAAAGATGAGATCGAGGTGGAATTGAAGAAGGAGGGTAAGACATGGAAGGATGTTGTTAATGAGGCTACAGAGAAGTTGGCTTGGAAGGAACCAAAGAAGGAGAAGGGGACGGTAGAGTTGTTGATCGAGGAAGCGTTGCAGTTGAATGATTTGTTGGATAAGTTGGGTGAAAAGATTGATTTAGGTGCTGGTGCGACTCGAGGTAATGCACCAGCGCAAGAAGAGGCACATAAATCTGCTTCTTCTGTGGGTGAATCAGCCTCAGTTGCTGTTACAGTGCCTCAGTCTGCTACTGCGTAGGAGCTGCATACTTCTGCCTGTTCTTCGCAACCGTAGAGATATTTAATACAGTAGATTTTACAAGGGTCCAACTAGGAAGCGGAGTCTCCGCCCACTATACAAGCGTGCGCTAGGTATACATTAGAGCGAGGGCAGAGTTGATTGTGTTGTCGCAGAATTTCATCATGTGAGGTAACTCCAACCATCAGTGCGATACCAAATTTCCTGGCCTCGAAGCTACTCCTGCGAATATGGGTCGAGGTGGTATTCTCCGCTCTCCAATCATCCAGCGAGGCAATATTGGTCCAATGCATAGTACAAAGATTCATACAGTGCCTCAACAGTTTTCGCACACAGGCCAAAAGTCTATTAGACAGAATAAGTCAATCTGCATCGGAAGCAGCTGGGAAATTTGGGACTGCTCACGACATCCTCTTCAGCATGAGCCATGAAATCCAAGCGTTCTCGCAAAGTCTGCGCGTCCATTATCAACTACACGAGGGAGAGCATAAGTACCCCGACGAGGAAGATCACAAAAGGAACAATAGGACGAACCATTTGCCAAATGTTTTGAATAGCACCTAACCTGGGTACTATCCCGTTGAATGCACGATCAAGTTTGGCCATCCTTGCGGCAACGGCTTCCATATCAGAGAGACGGGCAGCGACGGTCATTTCGACGTGTTTCAACTTTGTTAAGTCACTCTGCTTTTCTGCTGAAGATTATCAGCAAGCTTTTTGGAAGACGGGAGGCATATATCAGCTCTTGTTACCTTTGTCCACTTTTCCCTGGCTGTGAGCGGCCTTCACCGACACGCCCAGGGCTCCGATCCCGACTACCTTTTGTTGATGGGCTTGAATGGATGGAAGCCGAGTAGGTTGGAAGGAACTTACGAATGCGCCGACAACGACTAGTGGAGAGAGCGCTTTCAAGGCCTTTATAGCAGCGAAAGACGGCCCAAGGCCAGTCCTAGGTACCGACTTGAAATGTCTGAGCAGATACGCAAACTATAGGTGCAGACCCAGCTCTAGATATCGTCCATACTACGAGAATGTCATGCCACTCACGAGTCCGTCTGTCCTGCAAGACAAAGGTGTCAGTTCCACTTTTTTAAATGCGTGTAGGATCACCAAACTGTTGTAATTCCCCCTCAAGCTGGGAAATTTGCGCATCGATTCTAACCTTTGATGCTCGAACCTGTTCTGTCTTCCCAAATACATTCTCATGGAGTCTTATTCTAAAACTCTCGACTTGGTCTCGGAGAGTTGCAAAACCATTCTTGTGTGCGAGTCCCTCCCTCTCAAATTGTTCTACACTCTTATGGTCAATGGTCCAGTGAGTGCAGGGTAGTTTAGATCATCAAAGAAGCAGTACCTTGATATAACCATCCAGTGCCAGTTGCTGTGTTTCTCTCGCATACTTATTGTCAAGAATAGGTATTATAACTTGAAGGAGTGCTAGAATGCACGAGGACAAAGAAATCAGGTCCGCCGGGCTGAATTGCAGGGAGAGGGCGTACTTCCAATACTCCCTTTAACCTGGTTCGCCGACGTCCGTGAATAATCTATCAGGATCGTAAATTTCTATGAACAGGGCAGCCTGGTCAGAAACATAAGACGAAGAGGATCGACATTTACCTTGTGCAATCTTTTCCACTTCGGCGCAAACAACCTGACCTTTCCTTCCTTGTCCAGTACAACACCCTTCTCGTCGATTTGTTCCAACTGTTTTTGAATGATCCCGAAACAGCGTTCGATCTTCAGAACCGTATGACGAAGTTTCTCAACCTCTTCTTTGATACTTTTACGCGTGTCTTCAGATTTAAAGTGATTGTTAAACGAGTTGAGGAATGTGATGAACTGTCTATTCATCTCGGGCGCGTGCTCCGTGTTTGGGCGGTTTCCTGCGGGGCTTATGCAGACAGGCAGACAGGTGATAGGAGAGAACAAACTTGAGGTTGCTGTAAGCCACGGGGTCAACCCCACAACGGTCTACACGTGTGGTTTGAGATAAATGCAGTAATGGGCGCTTCGATGCAGGGTAGGGCCTGGAAGTCCCATGATGATCGATGACGTGCTGCAGGTTGGTCCAACGTCGTGGATGTGATATTGGTATTGGATCAGACAGGAAGACAACCAAAACACTGCGCACTATATGCCCGAGTCGATTGTACAACGGAACGCGAAAGCCATGCGTCACGGATACAACCACGACGCTATCACCACTAGGGGGTCACATTCGACGTGCTGTTCAGTCAAACAGCAAGACAATATTGATCGAGAGCATAGTACAACGATCCATATATGGCCTGAACAGTCTTTGCATACAATATGAAGCCCTTCAGAAGCACGCGGACCCAATCAGAGTCCATTCGTACGGAGTCCGAAGAAGTTCTCACCTTCGTATGGCCAGCTAATGGCATGGATAATAACCGCTCTCGTAAGGTCTGAGCATCGGTGATAAGCTAAAAAGGAAGGTAAGTCTTACGTTGTGAAGAAAATGGGAAACTGAGACTGACCATACGCCAGATACTTTGAATTGCATGCAAGCGAGGTGTTATATCATTGAATGTATGATCGAGGTTCTTCAAGTCCGCGACTGTAGCTTGAAGATTGCTAATGCGTTGTCCGACTCCTTCACTGAGTACCTTCAGTTTGGAAACTTCCACTTCTCTGCCTCGAGTTTATGTTCAGAGAAGTTCGTAGAATGTAGATGAAGAAGTACCTTTGCTGTCTTCTTGAGATTGCGGGAACATAGAAGAGGATGCAGTAAGAGCACCAATTCCCAAGACCTTTAAAACATGTCAGCTATAAGTTCGGGTTTCTTGAAAAATGACAAACGATAACACCAACAACGACGAGGGGTGCAAGTGCTCTCAGGCCCTCGAGGGCAGTGACAGGTACGCGGGGATTTTGGCTAGTTGGAAACAATGTAGTGGATAGTGGTACGTTGGTACTCGCCGCGAAAGTGAAGAGCTG